ACACCGTTTCAGCTGATTTTTGCTGCGTCCAGTGCAATAACCTCAAATACTGTCCGTGGCTGCCATTCCCAAGTTACGTGCTTCAGAGAGGCAGTGCTCGTTATTACCTGCAGTGTTAACGCTGATTTTTTGTCGTCGGTTAAGAATGGAGGTACGCGGTCCTCGGAGGAACCCCAGCTACCTCTCTGATCTCTACCAGAACATGTTACGGGCTGAAGAAGCACTGGGACGAGGGCAGCAGCAGCCCCCAGCAGTCTATAGAAATAGCAGCATGACTCTTAGGAGCAGTACCCCGGCCAAGGGGGGCCCCCAGCCAAGTAATCTTCAGAGCAGCACTTCCTCCAGCTGTGATCCGGTGTTACGGCCCATCATACGCCGCCGAGCAAGATCTTTGCCTACGTCGCCTGAAAGAAGGAAGCGGGCAGCAGTGCAGTGTCAAGTTCCTGGGTGCCAGAGTCCTAGGAACCGGGTGAGATTTGCTGATGCTTTGGGCTTGGAGCTCACTGAAGTGAAAGTTTTCCAGACTGGGGAGGATCCATCGATCCCCTTGCATGTCCTTTCTAGGCTCTCCATAAACTCAGACCTCTGGTACAGCAGCTCGGACTTGGAGTTTACCATGCAGTGCTTGGTCCCGGACTTCCAGCAGCCTGCAGACTGTATGGATTTCTCCTCCCGACTTCAGGAGCAGCAGGTGTGTCTTGAACGAGTGACCAGCTCAGATTTGGGGCTCAGTGGCACCATCCAGGTTTGCAATGTTGCTTTTGAGAAGCAGGTATCTGTGCGATACACCTTCAACGAGTGGAAAAGCATCCATGAAGTGTGTGCTCATTGGCACAGCAGCATCCCTGAGAAAAACGGGCACGGTCAGGTTGATGTTTTCACTTTCTTTCTCCCTGTGCCTCCTTTCCTCCTTCAGCTGTGCTCTGTAGTCCAGTTTGCAGCAAGGTACCAAGTCAACGGCCGGGAGTATTGGGATAACAACAGAGGCAAAAACTACAGTCTCACCTGCCGGACTCACCCCCTTAAGATGCCTAGAGAATGTGAGGAGAGCTGGATCCACTTCATCTGAATGAAGAAAGTGGATGCAGAGCAGCTTGCCAGACATCTCGGAGACCCGCTCCTGCTTGGCACGGCTCTCTCCTCCTATGGCAACAGTCTCCTTTTCGAAACCTGCCAAACGTGGCGAAGTGTTCCAGGGCAGGGAAGTAGCCAATGACCCGTACAAACTGTTCTAAACTTCTCAGAAAGCAAAAAGGGCCAAAATGTGTGTTGAGTTACATCCGTTGAAAGCCCGAGTGATTTCTTGTAGTGTATGAATCAGTGCAGAATGGTTCCAAGGGATGCTCTCAGACTACCAGAGAGCAAAACAAGACACTTCATGTTGCTAGTAATATTCTAGGTTGCATAGAATATTTCTAACTGATCTGTTTTACCATTTTGTACTGTCTGTTTTCTAAATGGGCAGTGTGGCTTTACTGGTTTTGTTTCTAATTCTCTCATCAAGTCTGGGGACTATTCCTTTTATGCGTGATGTGGATGGCAGGCACTGTAGGGATGTCCTTGTATTTTTATATATATATGTTATTAAGACTCCAACCATGTTAAATATTTCCATTAATATTTGGGTTGGAAATTAAATGTTATTATGAGCAAAACATACATGAAAATGTCCCATCAGCTCCTCTGTTTCTCTTAAAAAAAAAAGAAAAAGCTGCCTTTTCTTCTCTCTAGTGTTGGCTGTAGGCAGTAGGAATGATTGTTACCAAAGTGTGTGTAAGGCAGATCTTGGGTAGTTCTCATCTTTTTCAGGTGATGCACAAAGTAGGCTTTTTCTCTAGGTGGTGGTACAGGAATTGTCCTTTCCTTGTGCACCTGTTTTTACTAAGGGAAACTAGAGCAATTTTGCACTTGTGTTGCAGTTACAGTTGAAGATCTCAAAGCACTGTATGAATGCTAATGATCTTACACTGTTACCTGAAACAGGTAAATTTATAAATCAAGAAATGGATATGAGAGAGAGAGAGAGATTAAAAAAAAGACAATACAGGGAGCTGGGTACAGAGCCTTGGAGTAGTATCTTAGAATCCTGAATCCTGGCTGCATGTTCCCCAGCATCCCAGTACTACTGCAGTCGTACCTTTGAATTCTTTAATCAACTACTTCTCATTATAAACCAGTTGAACTCCAAGAATGCATCCTTTGCAACTCAAAGCAGGAACTTCAAAGCAAAATGATGATTTTACTGGTAAATTGATACTTGCATGGACCCATAAACAGAATCACCTCTGCAGCAGGGAGAGCACAATAACACCATTACACGCAGTCTTCCCATGCCTTTCGCTCTGCCACTTTCATTCTGTGGTTTTAGTGTGGTTTAAGATTGGCGACAGGCTTACATCTAGTAAGCAAAAGATTGTCCATGACTTTTTTTCATACATATTCATCACTGCATGCGAAGTTTAGCTTTATACATGTAGCATAAATTTTCAGAATTGGCTGGCTGGACGTATCAGAAGAGCTGCTTTTTAGAAGGTTTATACTATGAAAACCAGGCCACGTATTCAGGCATCTTATTTTGGATTGCTGCTTATTCATCAAAACCACAAGTTGTTTTTAATATCACAGTTGTAAGCAACCCACAGCCAAGTATATATGAGTCCAAATACTGAGTAATTCTGGAAGTGCAGAAACCCCAAGAAAATTCATTTGTCTGGCAACTTTATGTTACTACTTAGTTGTGATGCCCATTTAGCAAAGCTTGGATTTCAAGTGAAGAAGCTGCCTGGTTCCATTAGTCTTTGGCTTTCAAAGGAGCTGAAGTCATGAATGACTCTTGCAGAGTACTGAGAAAACTCAATCCTATTTGAAACCATTGAGAATTGACTGTGTTGTCTGCTTTAACTTTGTATTGGAGCACTGTGAGGTTGAACACTTAAGTTGAAATTGTTTTGAACGAGTAGGTGAGGCTGAGGTGCAGTTACCCACTACAGAGAGGAAAGAGCG